ACTTATTTGCTGTGCAGACAGCAAATGTAGATACCTATGGCCTTTTTGCAGGCCGGAAAATTAACCAGTAATTGCATTAAGAAAACAAACTAGTTGCTGATCTATGTTTCTCTCCGCCCAGAAGGCAAGAGATTATTCGCCAAGCAGCCTCTGTGATGAAAGCGGTAAATCAGGCAGATTCAGGAGGCTCTGGGAAGGACGTGACCTTGGAAGTAAACATAATCACCTCCCACCTGTGAGACACTACTGGAAAAACAAGACAACCCTGGTTCCCTGCTTGGCAATTTGAGGCAAATGTTGCTGGAACTTTCGAGCATCTTCTTAAAAACATCTGGACCACCAAGCCGAGAGGACAGCGCTGTCCTCCAGCACAGGGGAATGCTGCAGGACAGCAGGCGCCCCTGCAACTCCTCAACTCCCAAAGCACCAAGCAGCATTGCCTTCTCTTAGGCCTTCTTAACTTTCAAAGTTTCTGTGAATAACAATGTGCTTTAATTTTAGGTGTAAAGTGCCTGCAACAGCACATCAGTTGGTAAGTTTCTAAGCATAGCTTGGGGCAAATTATCCATCTCTCCAAATGTCAATTTCCTTCTCTGAGAAATGGATAAAATAATACCTCATTCCAGCCCAGAGTGCAGGAGGACTGTGACAGTGCTATTTTATGTGCCTGGTTCATAATGCAAGCTCTGTATGGGATTCTGAAATGGCCGGATCACCTGTGCATGGCAGGATTGACCTCCAATGCAAGCTCCCAGAACACCACCATAGCCACGGTAATTCATTCTACAGACCAGAGAAAAGGTCTGTAATTATGCTGTCGCTGCAGCCATTGCACAGTTATCTGGGTTCTTTCGCTTTCCTGAAAAATCCTGACCTAACTAACCAGTTCTTGGTTGTGCAGAGATTTTGATGGAGCCCAGAGCAGACCCGGCTCTGAGAGGTTGACCACTGACCAGCTTGTCTCCGGGAAGGGAGGCATCCTCCTACAGGGTGGTCTGGTCTCTTTAAGAAAGAAAAAATGTTACACAGAGAGAGAAGGAAAAAAAAAAAAAAAAAACAGCAATACAAACCAACCAAAAATGCCAGGAATGCAAGCTCTGCCAACCAAATAAATAAATAAAATGTGAGATACTTTATAATAACTGGACATGATACAATTCTCAACTATGCATAAATGAAAAACTACTTTTCCATCAGTCCTGCAAATATCCCCTGGGTCCTAGTCTTGGTGACCTTCTTGCTCTGAGGTAGCACTGACAGCCTCCAGCACCCTGAGTGACTGACCCACCCTGTGCCTTGAACTGTGACAGTCGTGACCTGGAGACCTCCTGCCTCTTACTGCACCCTGGCTCATGGGGCTGGCTCGCTGGCCTGGCTCAGAAGGGAGCCAGCCCCATGGACTTGAGCGCTCAGCCAAACAGGTGAAAAAGTTCTCTCCAGCTTTTACTCTTCTTTCCCTCAAACAGATTAGGGCCCCTGTTAATCATTTCAAGGGCCCCTGAAAAATTTACACAGCTCAGGGTCATTTTTTGCTGACCTGTTTTCTAGTTAACCGTTTATTAGAATTTATTATGGACTAGACACTGTTTTAAGAAGCTGCACACATGAATATTTATTTAATTCTCATGTCTACCTGTGAGGTACAGCTATTCCACTCATTTCACTGACACAGGAGCTGGAGCACAGAGGGATTAAGTCATCTGTCCCAAGTTGCACAGCTAATAAGTGACAGAGCTGGGATTCTAACCCAGACAGGCTGGCTCCAGAGTCCCCACTCTGAACTGCAGGACTCTTAGGTCACTAATGGAGGGTAGTAGAAGTCCAGAAGGAGCCATCCCCGTGATGCAGGCAGCTTTGCCCTCTTTCTTGCCTGTGCTGAAGAAGAGGCCTTACCAAAGGGACTGGGCAAGGGACAAAGCTTCTTCCCTCTGGATTCTCTGGGAGGACCGGGGCTGGTCCTTTTATTATTATAAAAGGGCAAATAGGCAGAATTTGCACTCATGTGCTTCTCTGGGCATGATGCTCACCTCTCAAGAAGGTGGAATAGGGAAGGAGAGGGAAAAGTAAGCGGCCTGGGAATGTATTTGCTTTGGCACCGGACAGGGCCCCTTCTCAGCCAGCTCCACATCAGGAGGGAACTTCATAGACACTCAATGGCTTTGTTTTAGCCCATCTGAGATCTGAGAACCTTGCAATTGTGCATCGCAATCAAAATGGTCTATTCCAGTTCATACCAAGAAGGAAAATTCAGTTCCAATGTAATTTCAAAGTATATGCTAATTTGGTGCTTAAACCTGTCAAAAAGTCCTAAGAGAGATCTCAATCTAGAATAAAAATAAATAAAGGGTCTTGATCAGGTCCTGGTCACAAAGACAAACAAATAACCCAGTTTACTGGCAAACGGATATGTGGCTTGGCCTCTCAGTGCCTCTACTTCCCCTTCTAGGATACAGATATAATATGCCACTGAACAGCCAGAAGAAAAAAAAAAAAAAAACTAGCTGAAACTAAAACAAAATGCTGTTTTGACTCCCTATCTTCTATGACTTCTCTTTGGCACTCCTATTTGGGTGGGTGGGGGAATTCTAGTTTAATTATTTAAGCCAGATAAGATTCCAAACTAGTTGTCTCCACACATAAGAAACTATACAACCCCCAAAGAATCATTCTGACAAATATTTAAGTCACAGCTGTGGACACACGGCCACACTGTGAGAAGTTAAACTTTAAACACATGTCCTATATGGTCTGCTGGGCAAAGCAAATCCCCACTTAGCCAGAGTCTTCACTTCTAAACAACAAAAACAGACAGGAAGATGTTTCTTCCATCCTTGCACCTGCAAGTTTAGTTCTCAACTGAAGTTTCTTTGCTGTGCTCTTCAGAGGTAACTTGCAGCATTGCTCAAAGCAACATACACTGAGGAGTTAGAAGCAGGGATTATCTTCATTTCAGTCACTGGCTCACAGATAAATTATCGATCTGTTCTGTGCCTCTACATATTACAAGGGTGTAATATTCAACTTTATGCCTCTAAACATCCAGAATAAAACTAATAATTAGTTGGAACATTTTTTCAAGTTTCTTCCTTTATTTTCCCCAAAACAGTGTAAGAAATCAAATCTCATTTCAAACAAATGTCAGAAGTTGGCCTGATTTCTTTGACCAGGTGAAATTTTCATGCATTAAAGGTGGCATACAAATCCTCCTAAGTAACTTGTAAAGCTTTTTGAAAATGAGAAACACTAAAGAGGTGCTTACTGTCATGGATGTTGATTTCAGCACCAAGGCCCTGCTGGCCCATTTTACAGATGGCAAAGCAAAGGGACGTCGCTTGCCCAGAATTAATTTTTTATCAATAACTGAAAGAACAGCACCATTGATTTAAAATCTCTAATATTTAATACTAAACACCCCCTCAAGAAAAAAACTGCTTCAGCTGTTTACTGTGATCTAAAACATGTGTTGCCGGGGCTCTTTTTCATTCCAGTACATAAGACCCATTGTAGGTATGTGGACTGACATAGCTTCATGATATTGCCCAGATGACCAAGTCTGTCTCTTCCCCATAAACACACATATAAACAAGTCATCCTGAAGGAAAGGACCTGTTAGTTGAGTTTACATCTTTTCTGGGGACTATCTTTGCACTTCTTTTATACCTGCTTTGAATCAATTAACGAACAGAATTTATTCTGTCTTCTTTGAAGCCCCAAATGCAACCATCCTTGCAATATCACTTCAGAACTATAGCTCTCAGTGCCTGAAATGTTCAGGTTCCAGTTGATCTTAGCATTGCTAAGACCATGATCCTCCTTGTGAGAACAAGCCCTGCCTCCTTTGTGCACAGCAGTACTGGGGTGAAGGGTAGGGGTTCTAACGGGACATGACCAGATCTGTTTATTAACATTTCGGAAGAATCCCCCAATGACAAAACAAGAGCTTGGTTCGTGCTGAAAGTTTAAACAGATTAAGGGTTAAAATAAACAGCTAATTGTGGGAGAGGCAAAAAAGTATTAACCACAGGGAGCAGCAGCTAAACTTATGGATAATCGAAGACAAGAGGGCAACATAGCACTGCAATTCATTATTTTCCAGAAAGCCTTACTCTCTCTACATAGGTGTGTGTATACATATCTCCTACCTCTAAAATCTCCAACTGTAAGGACAGCAGGTAGTTCCCTATCCTTAAAGACAGCATCTTTCTCTCCCAAACTGCATTGACTCCAAGAATTCTGGAAGTCCAGACTCCACTGAGCTGCTTGCACTAAATTTTGTGTCTATTAAATGAAATTTTTTTCTTATACCTCTCTTCAAATCCTTCCAACCACCAACCAAAGTCACCTTTGGTGTTGGGATGTTTTGCCTTTTCTAATACATCTTTGGCACCAGATAGATGGGAGTTTAGAAAGATGGGGAAAGTGAGAAGCCTGTATAAATAGAATGGGATGTTCCTGAAGTTTAGATGATAATTTCAGGTTCCCGTCTCCTGGTTCTCCTCTCTTCTTCTCACCCTAACCCCAGAAGAGAGGTGACAGTGAGCAAAGGGACATGTGACAGGGGAGTTCAGGGAGGCAAGACATTTGAAAATGTGCTTCAAGGCCAGCCTAGGGGTTTTGGTTTTGGTTCTTACACCCAGAGTTCTCCATCCAGTTCTGGGACATGCAGGATCAGGGGATGATGCCCCCTTTATGGCAATGCCCACCCCATCTAATATTAAAGAGTTAGGCCAGAGGATTCACCCTTCAGGAAGAAGTAAAAAGCCGGTATGGGGAAGTTGGATATTCTAGAAGCTTTTTTCCATTACTATAAAAACACAGCTGTGAAAATAAATGCCCCCCCAAAAAAGGATCTTGGCCCCCAATAATCCTCCTAGCCTCTACCTCTCCCCACTGCCACTAGCATCCCCTCTCAGTCCGAAGAGTACTATACAGAAGGAAACAGCAAAGGGGGGAGCGAGGACCCCAAGAACTGGGGTGGGGGCCTCAGCAGTCACACTCACCCGGGGAGGGGAAAAGCTCCAGATCGACTTTTTCTGTCTTGATGATGGTGAGAGTCGGTTTGAGATCGACGGCCGCCTTCATGGTGCCAGGAGTGGGGAGACAGACTGGATTATAGCAAGTTGGCTGTTATTCTCGCTGTTTTCTTTTTAATGGGGCTTAATAAAAGGGGAAGGGGACGAAGGGGGGGGGATCCGACTTTCTTCCCTAAAACCTCAAATTCTCCGACTTTCCCCGGCGCCCAGACGGTGCGCGCCCGGCACTCCCGGGAAGTTGGCACTTGGCGAAGAAGTGCGCGCGCCCCGGGTCCCAGCCTCGCCCCGCTCCCTCCTGCTAGTCCTCGCCCGCTCCCTCCTCTCCGCCGGCCGGCAGCCTGAGCTCGCTCTCGCCTCCAGCCGCGCTCTCCCTCCCTCTCTCCCTGCGCGCTCTCCTCCTCTTTAGGGCGTTCCTCGCGGCGCCAGCCTCGGCCGCTGGGTCTGCGCGCCCCGGCTCCCTCCGCCCCCTCACCCCCCATCTCCGCAAGGAGGGGGGCCCGGAGAGAGGGGTGCGGGGGCGGGGCGATCGGGGCGGGGCGGTCGGGGCAGGGAGGGAGCGCTCCCAATCGCCGCCGGCGACCCAAAACGAAAGGAGGAGGGCGGAGCTCCGCGTCCACCCGCGCCGGCACCCGGCCGGGGCGCGCCCGCCCGCTGCGGAGAGGGGGAGCCGCGCGGGGAGCCCGCCGGCGGCTGAGTCCTCGGCGGACAAGAAGGGGGGGCCCCGAGTGCGCGAGCCGGCTGGGCGCGCAGGCCGCCTCGACCCTTTCGGGAAAGTCCGTCTGATTCTCCACGCATTCTTGAATACTTGGTCACCCCTCTCCTGTCCCCCTCCCAGTAGCAGCATAGTTTTCCAAGTGCGTGTGCATCATTCATTCACAAAGACTGACACACAGGACGTGAGGCATGCCCCCGAAGGGGCGTGCGTGCAAGCAGGCGCAGGGGGATTTGGGAGCCCTGTCCTCACGAATGCATTTTGGACTCCAGCCTGCTAGTGAGTCAAAAATCAGGACCATGTTCCCGGAGAAGCCTTCGATTTTTCAGAGCTCACCCCTGCTAAGAAATGACAGAGGCAACCTGCAAGAGCAGAAACCTACATTCGCTGCCCTAGATAAGAATGGACACAGCCTACCCAGACCCAAAGCAAAGGTCCAAATGCTTCTGCATTACCTGGAGCGTTGAGAACAGGGCCTTGGACTAGAACCCAGACTTGGGATTCCACCCGCTTCTAGTTTACCTACAGCAGTGGATGGCGGGATGGAGATGCTATGTTTTCTAATTATTCCGTTCCTTGAAATATGTCACCATCGACCAACGTTGTGCCTGTCCATTCGCAGACACTACAAGGTAAAAGTGACATTCTTACTAGCACCGCCGAAACAGGAGGCAGAGCTTGACAGAATGACAGAGTCATGACAGAATTACAGTGCACAGCCCTTGCTCCATTTGGGAACTCCAGGCTGTTGGGATACCACATTACTATCCCAAATAAATAACAACTTGCCACTGATGCATTGGCTATCGTAAATGGAGATGGTGAGTCTTCACTAACAAATTGATCAGTCCACATGGTACTTACATAGACACAAGTTTGTAAAGCTAGAGCCAGGCATTGAGCTCTGTCTTTGATTAAATGCAAGATTAAAGTACACCTTTCTGAACAACCTCAAAAAATCTATTTTTAATCCTGTTTCCTGATTTCTAAGCATTTTTGAGCTCTCTCCACTTGTCTGCAACTGTAACCTCTGCCTCTGATAAATTTTCACACACCGGCTTACCTAATCTCAGTTCTGCCCCACTGATGTGTTAGTCATTTGCAGGTTTCCCACCACAAGTCAGGGAAGGACCCAGAAATAGATAATACAGTTCAGGCTCCCGTTTCAAACTTTAGATTCTTCCCCTCCTGTGACCAGAAGAAAACATTGATATACACTAATTCTAATTTTTGAAGGAACAAAGACTTGAGATCCAGCTGTGTTTAAAGGTATGAGAAAACAATGTTGGCCTCCAGATGACAACAACAGACACTTCTGATCCTGGAAAAGCTGGGGGAAACAGCTGATGAATGAATTGTACATTCACACATTCAAATGAGCAGCAAGTTAACAGATCTTAAATCAGTCCTGCCTTACGAATACATCAGCAGCAGAAGTGAGAAAATCAAGAGTTGCTTTGGGAAATTTTGGGATTTTTAATGTTGTTCTAAGAAAATGCTGGTATTTTTTAATCCAAGGGTGAGCATGTCTCTATTTTCAAACACAGTTTCCTCAAAACTACTCCTTTCTCTTTTCCCCAATCTGCTCAACTCTCTTTTCTAAACATTGCTGCTGCCATTCCCCAAATTAGCCACTACAAGAGCCTGACATGATTAAACCATATACGCTTTCCATTCTAGCAATGGGGAAATTTAGTCCTTCTAACTCTTCAACTGTGATGATTCAACTTGTCAATCATTCTTTTTCTAATGCAGTACTAAAGTACAGAAGCTCAAAATATTTCAGTGCGCAAATCAAGGAATGGGATCCTATAAAACAGAAGGTTTGGAGGGGAATCCTGGGGCTGCCAGAGACCTTCAGGAATGTTACTTCTACCTAAGGTTCAAGATGAATACTGTTGTCATCAGAAGTTATACAGCGACTATGAATCTGGTTGAAATGCCCCCTAAATCACGAAACAATAATATGATCAAGTTAAAATATTTTCACATATTTGGGATATTAATAATCCAATCAGGTCTGTATGGTTCATGCTTGATGAAGGTAATCAATTTTGATAAAGGAAATTTACATTCCCTTTTGGACACAAGTAGATCTTTCTAAATGTTCTTAGGGCCTTGAGATGGCCTTTCTGTATGGCCCCATTCTAAAAAGCAATTCCTAACCCAGTGCCTGGCACACTGCAGATGCTCAATAAATACGTGCTGAATGATGAACTATCAATAGCCTCCAGTTGCTATGACCTTCTATTTTGTGACAACTCCTCCTCACCCCATGGTGAGGTGAATATGATACACTATAGGTTGGTGAAGATGAATGAAAAGATGTCAGTGGTTCTACCCCTAGATCTGAGCTTTTTCCCACATGGCAGAGCAAAACTGTTTTCCAGCCCTCATGTCCACCTGATTTCACTCTTGCCCCGGTTCCCCAACAGCAAAACAAGACCAGCTTAGCCTACTTTCCATCCACTGGTGCAAGTTGTTTGAGGACCAGATGTGATTTTTAAGGCACCCAAGCAGCAGGCTATTTCTCCTGCACATGGATGAAAACAAAATCGTATTGTTAAGTATTCCTTAGACATCGGTGAATTACATCCAGCAAGTGGTAACACTCCTTATTCTGGGAAAATCAGGTCAATGAGGACCCAAAAAAGGCTGCAGGCGGGCCTCCGTGGTGGAGCAAGGGGTTAAGTCTCAGCTACTAAGCTATTGCAAGCCACTGCTGCCTGAGTTCCATCCCCAGCCAGGGATCTGACCCACATGTCACAACACAGCTCTCCTGTCTTGCCTGTCCCTCTTAGCAGTGTATTTCAGTAGATCTGCCTATTCGGCTCCCCACTCTGTCTCTGGTATTTCCTCTCACCACCACACCCATACGTCTGGCCTTCCCCCAGCTCTTTTATGCAGAAATAAAATAAATCTTTTAAGAAAGTGCTGTAGAAGTGGGGCGACAGGGGAGCAAAAGGATTGATGTGATCAAGAAAACAGTCACATTTACACAGGAACTGCTTCAAACACATGCAATATATAAGAAACATAAACCCAGCCCAACTTCAGCAAAAAAGAAATGTAAAAAGTACCCCAATGTCAAAGCATGGCAGAGAGAGGATCCCTCTCCGGAAGTGTTAGAATAACTTCTCTGTCTATTTCCTGAATCTTGAATATCAATAAACCTAAACGAATCTCTGAGTTTTGAGGTAAAACATACTTTAATGAAGGTAGGTGCAAAAAACATTCAGACCACTAACGGCTGATCCTGAACAAGTTTTTGACTCAGAGATGATGATTTACTGGTTTAAAAGTAAGATTTAAAAAAAAAAAAAAGGACTCAATTAACAACCTGAGTTACTTTTGTGGTTGTTTTTCTCTGAGAAATGGCAACAGTCCCTGTCACACACAGAAATAGGCTTCTAAAAGCTTAACTCTAAAGCAAGTAGTTTCTATGTGTTGAGTCACTGAAAACACAAGGGGGGGTGGACAAAAAAATCCGGTGCTTTGATATCTACCATTATCAAGATGCAATTAAATGGAAGATTGGAGATGAGAAGGAAAAGGAAACCAAGCCTCAGTAATTAAACTTAGGGTCCGCTCAAGAACACAAGTAGGGGCTCAGAGGTACAAGTCTCTGACAACAGCAAGCCTCTGTGACCTCAACCAAAACAACTTAACCTTTTTGTGTTGCTACCTCCGGGCTGTTTCAAGGAATAAAACCACCCCTGGCTCTCCTACCAGGCTGAACAGACTCATTAGCTATTGTTTAGAAGGTACAATAAACAATGAGCCATTAGGGGAAAGGCATTTGGGGGAAGTCTAGCCCAGAAGGGCAGGGAGAGGGGAGCACTTGCCGCTGGAGAACTCTCCACAATAAAACAAAGATGAGAGGAGTACTGTCCCCTCTGGAATAAGACTCCAATTGACATTCCAGCTCTACCCACTAACCAGCTCCATGAATTACTTGGAATAAATCACAATCCAGAACCTGAGATCCTCTGTGTTTAAAGTAGGGATGATAATAGCACCCACCTTTTAGGGCTGGTTGGAGGAGTAAATGAGACACTGCATGCAAAGCATTCAGCTGATGATGAAATCACTCTAACTGCTGTTAAGATCCAATATGTGTTAGAATAATATAGAAATCATGTTCAACTCTTCTCTATGGCTCCCCCTTAGCAGAGCAGCTTGGACCCTCTATTTACCTGATTTGTCTCCAGGGAGACTTAGGGAGAACAAGCAATTTAGTTGCAAAATCTCTCCAAGCTTCCTTTTCCCGGGCTGATTTGGGAACTTGGCCAGTTACAGCCTCCCTGGAGAAGTGCCAGAACTACCTGATTAGAAAAGAAAACCACAGATATATCTCTGTTGTCCGAATCACAAGGGTGCTGTGTAGTTCTCTTTCAGAAAGAAGATCATGACTGTGGTGATCTGTGCTGTGTTTATCGGCTGTTAGAAGGAGGTAAGGGACTACTGGAGATGGTTGCATCCAGGCCTCCTACTTGCCAGTTAAAAAATGAGTTTACAAGAATAAGTCATTCTGCCAATGGCCACATGCTCAGGAGACTGGGTCCCCTGGTAGGTTTATTCTAAGGCATCAATTGTGTTTACAGATGTCACTTCAGCAGAAGTCACTGCTATTCG